TAAACTTGTCTATTAATTAGGGTTAGAAAAGATTGAATGGAAACAAAAAGGTCAAAAAGTGTTTGAAACTTAGTACAATAATACCATTTACTTATGTGCAGTTTTAGCTGGCAGTCCTCTTTAATTTATAATAATGAAGTTTTCAAAGTACAAGGTTTTATTTAATAATTTAAATTTATTAAAAAATATAAATCCGCGGTGATAAAGGATATAAATACTAATAATTGCAAATGATTTAAAAAACTAAAGCACATATATGTATTTGTTCCCACGCAATTATACATTTTGTCCCTGTAATATCCTCAAATTTCAATTTGATCACTTAAGTTTGTATTGTAAAACACATCTATTTCAATTTTTTGAAAGAATTGTAATACATTTGGCTTTAAAATTTAACTAGCTTTTTAGGTGAAAATTTCTAATTTCTTTTCTAAATCAACTCGCTAACCGACCCTTTTATCAAATTTGTCTTATTATAGTTAAGTATTATTTTTAATAAACTTGTAAATCTTCTTACAATTTTATTATCTACATGGATATCAGGTTTTTTATGTATAAATATTAAATGTTTTTCTAAAAAATTAGACAAGGATAAAGTATGTTACATTTTTAAAGTGATAAAATCATTTTGCCCAATTGAATTTTATTCTTTATCTTATTTACCTCTTAAACTATTCAATATACTATTTATCTTGTATGGAGACTAATATTGTTAAAAACCAATATGTAATAAAAAAGGGTAGGGAAAATAACAAAATTGTTTGCAATCTATTCACTCACATGACCATTCAATGATTTCGTGTTGATCATTCTCTCTTTTTAAGTGATTTGTTCACTAATTGGTGAACGGGGAATGACAACTTTGTTATAGGTTTTATGAATGGTAACCTATTATTTAGTTAATTTGCACAAATAGTCTAAATTTATTTTGTAAAAATTTAGTGATGTTTTAATTTAATATCTCAAGTTAAAAACATTTGATAATATTTATTATTAATTTTTAAATATTAATTTTATTTTTTAAAATTTTAATAATTAACTATTTTAATATTAATATTTTAAAATTGGAGAAATCAAGGGATAAATATAATAGCTGGCTTAATAGCATTAATCTCTAATAAGGTAAATAATACATTATATTATTTAAGGATTAAACAAGATAGAGATAAAAGTTTAAGAGGGTTAAAATGATTTTTGTCTTTTATAAAATTTTAAAATATAATGTGCTAAAATTAAATTAAAAAATTATAGAGACAAAATTGAATTTGAATGCAAGAACCATGAGGATAGTGTAACATACTCATTACAATATCTGAAAATTTGAGTCACGATTTAAGAATTTCATCACATCTAGCTATGACCATTTAATAAATAAATAAAATATAATTATTTTGTAGGTGGGAAATTCGTATAATCTAATAAAGGACCATATATTAATTAAATAATGAATTAGTGAAATAATATATTTTGGAATACATAGGTTTGTGGGGATGGCAAATATGTTAGAAAGTAGAGGTCAAGGGTTGGAGAAAGACCAAGTAGTTGAAGGATGATTCGCCGGTTTATTAGATGTTATACTTAACATTTAAGTTTCTCTTCATCTTCATAGGCTATTTTTGATGATAAGAAATTCCAATGGCCAACATTGACAACAGAACTAAACCACGGCATGCCGAGTGGCTTTTTTATTTTCTTTTTCTTTTGCAAATTTAATTTTAATTAACAAAAATTTTTATATAGAAAAATGGGCTGATAAATAGAGTATATATATATATATATATAAGTCCAATGGCCCACCAAAGAAAACATTCACATAGTCAATTGACAATTGTGCCTTAAAAAATCTATGATAATTATATAGTATCTATATATCTGATTCGCTATGTTGACAATGTTGGGCAATGGGGTTTGGTAAAGCATGAATTAGTGCTATAATTATTAGAATTGAACCGATTATCTGGTTGAGTGCATGAACCCATATATTCAAACATTTAATACTGTTTACATTTATTTAGAGAGAGAATTATAAATACATATAGGAAAAAAAACATTAAAATCACTCTAATTCTCAAAAAAACAACTACAAGTACTTGTAATTGATATTAGATTCTAATCAGTGAATTAATCAGTATCAAAAGTTTTGTTGATACTAATTTAATGAATATTAGAACATTGATTCAATGAGTTTAGACTCTACTTTAAATGATCCTTATTATTTTAAGTAACCAATGGAAAATTTCTATAAATCAATAGTCATATTATATTCATTATATCAATAACTTATTAATTTAATAAATAATTAAGATCATGAGTCAGTAGTCTTAATATGCATTATATCAATATAGTATGAACAAACAGCATTTAGTTTGAAAATGATTTTAATTACTTTGAGCAGCGAATGGGAAAAGAGAGAACCCAAGGCAGAAGTTCATGCCCTAGATTCCTATGTGGCACATGGCTAGTTTCGTAGGGTGAATAAATAAGTACGTTCAAAATATTTAGTAAATGAAATGTTAGCATTTGATTGCACAAATTAACGTGTGGGGAATATTGTTTTGTTCACTTTGGAACTCCCACATGAAAGCAATGATGAAGAATGAGGATAATTTACAAAGGACTAAATGCATAAGTGGGTGTAAGCTGGAAGTTCATCATCACTAACTTCCTAAGCTCAAACAAAACCATCTGTCTATTCCTAGCAAGCATGCCAGATATAATAATTTATAAACAGCAAGAAATATAATTATATACACGCACATATACGCTTACATGTATGTAATTATATATGGTTTCTAGCTACCACAAGGCAACACAAAGAAATTAAAAGCATTTATCAAATACAAATTCGTGTTTTTGAGAGGAAATTATAAACCCAGGGGGGGGGTGGGGGAAAGAAGAGAGAAGTGCTAAAACCAGTCCTTGTACAAAGTATTTGAAAAAAACCATCTGTTGAATTAGATTTTCTGCAAGGCTTCAAGTTTGGAAAGGATCACTGTCCTTAAAGACTCTTTTGTCCTTTTTTACTGCTATGCAAAAGGAAAATCCCAAATGAATATTAGGGTTTTATACAGCCAAATACATACAGCAGGTTTCATAATTGTCAGACTTGTATCGAGTTTTGTGCAGCAAAGGATGCATCTGGTAAGATGATGAGAGTGAATGGCGTATATCTTAGATTTTATTACTTGGCCTTTGAATAATTGGGTGTTTGTCTATTAAAAAGTTACACTGTCACAACATAACTAAACAACTGCTAATTGAATGAAATGTGTGGTAGTTTATGACTAATAAAAAATGATATATTTGTTAAATAATTTTTAAATAATATATAATGAAAAGGGGATTAATTAAATTCGGTTGTAAGTTTCAAAAATTTACACCAAATCTTAACACGTTAATTTGATCAAATTAATAAATGAGATTAATTAAAGAAAGATAACTGTAAATTGTTTTTGAAAATTGTTATAAAAACAGCTATAATTAATTTTGTCGTTGAATTTAACCAAATCAACGGTATAAAATTTAAAACAAATTTTTTAAACTTATACTAGTGTCAATTGATCCTTACTTAAACTATTATATATATATAGAACACACTTAATATCAATTGGTACTACACAATAAATTTTAGTATAACCGAATTTATATATTATATAATAAATGGGTACCAACTTTTTATTCTCAAATTTTTCTTTCACCAATGGATGTGAGATTAATTTGAGTAATTGCACTCTAACACCTAATATATTGGTATTAGAAAATATGCCTTTTAACACGGTTTGGAGGAGAGAAGAACACGAAGACATTTATGGTTAGAAAAGAGCAGCTCATAAGTTATATGGTAAAATTGGGAAGTAAGTGGATATATATATATATATATATATTTTACTTTGGTACAAGTCAATTTTCTTCTTCTCCTAAACGGTTCACGAATCACAAGCTATTAATGATTTTGACGGCTACTACACTTTAACGAGTTAATGAATTACAAGTAGCTGTTTACCAGTCGCTCATGACTTAACTATTTTAATTCCAACTAGGCGGAATTATGATTGACAAAAGAAAGCAACTTTAATCATTTAAATTAAGTCATTTCCGAGACATTAAAGCCAAGGAACAAGAAGCCAATTAAACATAGAAAAAGCAGTCTTAAGACCTTAAGGAACTAGAATAGTGGCTTCCACATCGGGTGCCCAGATCAGAACCCAGTTGGGTGGGTTCTGTATATCCTAGTGCTAATGCTGTCCATACCACGTCCCATTAGCCAATTCTGTTATCCCAAAACAAAACAAAAATAACTTTCCATAATTCTCCAATTTTTATTAAGTGAAAAACGAAATAAGGTAAGTGTACAAAGATGACCAAACTTAGATTTTACCAAATCATGTTTATAAAAAGTTCAAATTGCAATCGTAGGTTTGAATTTTCTGAGGTTAACCGTGTGGATGTACAAATGCAATCAAACTTACTAGGGTTTTAATTATCCCACATCGGTATTCATAATGGTGTCAAGTATATAAAATTTTAATACAATGGTGAATAAACGAGTACGATGTTTGTATACAAGAATCAATAGACAAATTTCCAATGTGAAGATGACCAAGAAGTATGGACTCCCTTTCTTTTTTCAAATTTGGTTGGCCACAAATCCATGACATCATGCACCCTACTTGAGTTTATATAATCTAGTTTCCCACTTTGGCTTTCTGCAGTTCTCACCATGTCTTGTATTATAAAAGTGGAGTAATGTAACTCGATCCTACGCCCTCATGCATAACTTCCTTCTGCAATGGACTCAAAGGAACTAGAGTTTTTTTTCTCCACTTCCCTCTGCTCCTCCAGGTAAATGAAGCCCCTTCTCTCTCTCTCTCTCTCTCTCTCTCTCTCTCTCTCTCTCTCTCTCTCTCTCTCTCTCTCTCTCTCTCTCTCTCTCTCTCTCTCTCTCTCACACTCTCTCACACACACACACACACACACACACACACACACCCACCATTTATATGGGTTTTTGCATGGAACTCGCAGAAACATCCTTACTTACTGTCTTCGGTGCAATTGGAATTGCAGAGATTTCAATCTTATTTGTTGTCTACTTGAAGTATATCAATTCTGTGCACTTACATATGGAGAAAATTTTTTTAAATTTTGGAAGAGGGAAAGCCATATGTGGAGGACTAGTCTAGGCCTCCCGGTTCTAGGATGAGGATCCTATTGTCCTTTGTAAATAGGAATGGCTATTCATGTTTGCAGATTAACTCGTGTTGTATTACTACTGCTTTCAGATGGTGGTCCAAGGACACAGTTGCCATCGTCACAGGAGCAAATAAAGGCATAGGGTTTGCCCTCGTGAAAAGATTTGCAGAGTTAGGGTTAAGCGTGGTTTTGACAGCCAGAGATAATACTAGGGGGCTTGAAGCTGTGCAATCACTCATGGTTCAAGGCCTTCATGTTCACTTCTTTCGCCTTGATGTAACCGACCCATCATCTATCAAAACCTTCATTTCATGGTTCAGAGAAAAATTTCAAGCATTGGATATTCTTGTAAGTTATCTTTCTTTGCACAAATTTAAACATTTTAGATGAGATAACAATTAATGATTTACAGTAGTAAATACTACAAATTCAGATATTAATAATGCATATGAATTGACATTGAGTAGATCACACAATCAATTTTAGATTAATTAAGAAGAGGGGCACGCATATATGTACATACATATTAAGTATACTAAACAAAAAATCAATATGTCAAAAGTTATGCTTTTGAAATTTAATTCCAAGATACTGTCTTAAAAGTAAAGTTCTTATCTTTCACAAGAGGTGGATTTCACACCTTTTCATGAGTGTGTAGAATTCATATTTGTGTGAAAAGTAAAAGCACTACTTTTCAAAGAGTAGTATTAAAAGAAGCGTCTACCATAGGGTGAAAATAAATCAATTGGAAAAATACAAAATTGAAAATTTCATATAAACAATCAATTGGGAAAAGATTAGTTTACAAATGCCAGTCAATCTCATGCAGTTGAATAGAAGTGCAATCACAAATTAGAAATTGATGTTAATGAGTAATTTTACAGTTGAAATGCAGAAGCTCACAAGAGAGCACTTTGATTGGAGAGTAGAATGGAAAACTTGTTTTGAAAAAGCAATCAAGGAGTACCAAAAGTCTTTGATTGGGAATATTTGTTACATTTTTTGCTGAGTCTTCAGACCTGCTATAAATTAAACATATGACTACTTCACTAATCTCATAATTTATAGTTCAAGATCGGTCATCAAATACTATTAATTAAGGGGTTGGTGGCCCGAGAAGTCAAAATAAACAAGTTTTTTCATTAGGATTACATATTTTCTATTAATTGTTGCTCTATTTTCCAGAATAGAAAACACATGGAATCTTCAAGAAGTGTTTTCAAAATATTGTTAGACAAGTCACAGATTTTTTTTAGAAAAAGAAAAAGAAAGAAAAATGCAAAAGTCCTTGTGAACTTTCAGTTTCGGACTTAAGTATAAAAAGTCTTCAAATTCTCGACTTCTGACTTTTCCAGCTTTTGGGCTTACAAATTCCACCGTGAAAGTCTGTCACCAAACAATATCTAGTTACTCTTATATGTTTATAGGTGAACAACGCCGGAGTATCCTTCAATGGCCTCCGCGAGAACTCGGTGGAGCATGCAGAGACGGTGATAAAGACCAATTTCTATGGACCGAAGCTGCTAACTGAGGCGTTGTTGCCGGTGTTTCGCTGCTCAAACTCTAAAAGCCGAATACTAAACATTAGCTCAAGGCTCGGCTCGTTAAGTGTAAGTGAAAACTAGGTTTCGTGCTCTATTTAATAAAACTGAAAATTTTAATTAATTACAAGTTTAGTATCCAAATAATCAAGTATTATTTTTTAAAAATTTAAAAATTATAAAGTTGTATATAATAATTGAGAATACAGATAAATGTTATACAATAATTTAAATTTATTTCATTTAAAATTTAAATTATTTTTATGCAGTTTCTAAACTTTAATGATTTTTATTTCAAATGGTCCTCCATTAAGCTTACTAATTAATCTTTAAACTAAGAAAGGCATATATGCTTACTATGTTCTGCCCGAACACAATCAAACAAATGCTGAATGTACAAAATACAAAGTTGATCATATGCACGCATGGTTCTTCATAATTTTTTTTTTTTAAAATAGTGTTAAGGGTTCATAAAATTAATTAATTTATTGCAATGTGACTTAATCATAATTAATAAAGGCCATTGATCACTGTATCAATTTTTAATAAAGCATTTTATATATACGTATGCCAAGATAATGTATTCTTTTTAGCTAATCATTGTGGTTAGTTGAGTTAAATAAATAAAAATCATTAATATCTAAATTTAATTGGAGGTGATATAAAAAAAATTTAACTATTTTTATATGTAACAAATATATAAAAATAATCTCTAAATGAGCCTTATAAATGTTTATGATTTGAACTAAATTAATAATTTAGATAGAAAAATACTTTTCTCTCCAAATTTATTTAAATGATACTCGACCTTATTCTTGTTATAAAAAAATATTTTTTTCTTTTAACTAACTGTTAACTAACGATTACTTAATAGTTTTGTTAAAAAAATGGTGAACATAACATCATTTCACCTGCTTAGATTACCTATCTAATTAAAAATAAAATATTATTTATTTTAATTAGAAATTTTAAAATTTTAAAAATAAAAAGTATAACCTTATGATATCATAGTTTTACTATTTTTAAATTTTTATTTAATGATATTTAATTTTATTTAACTTTTTTTAAGTTTAAATGACATTCAGTCTTTTTTTTTAACTTATATGGCATTCAATCATTCTTATTTTGATATTAAAAATAAAAATAATAATATATATAATAAAATTATTTAATAATTAAAAATAATAAACTTAAATCATTAAAAGTTAGATTTTTTTAGAAAAAATAAAAAATAAGAAATTTAAAAAAATAAGTGAATAAAATAATATTTTAATTTAGATCGGTAACTAAAATGTGCAAAATTAGATTACTTTCACATCTTTTTTAACAAAACTGTAAGGAATCATTAGTTAACAATTAGTCAAATAAGGAAAATATTTTTTATGACAAGAATGAGGTGAGTATCATTTAAATAAATTTGGAGAGAGGTGGTATTTTTTATCCAAAAAATTTAGTTAACAATAATTAAATACATTTTTGTCTTTTTGTGTGAGCATTATTTTATTTTGTCACAGCTTGTGTGCCTCCTTTAATTTTTTGAACGACTTTTTTGGGAAAGGAAAAAGGACATATCCCTATTTTTATTTAGGGGAAATTACACTGGTACCTCAGCTATTTTCACTGGATCCCCCCTTGGTCCCTGCACTTTCTATTGAAACAGTCAGCCCACCAAACTTGAGGTGAAGTTACGGGATTTTTGGGTAGATTTTTCTGCTTATTGAGGATAACTTAGTAATTTCGTAAGATGTCAAGCTAGAAAGATTATTATAAATTCAGATTGCTTAGCTGGGTCAAATAACCTTTGCCTTATTGTAAACACATTATAGCTTAATTGTACGTGCACACAAAACATGTTATTGATTATTTTTCAATCTAACCCCAATTATTAAAACCCAAACTAAACTGACTAATTCAACTAGTTTTACTATGAATTGAAAAATAGTTTCAATAAAATCTCTTAACTAAAATTGGTCAAAATTAATTAAAAATTGGTAAAATTGATTGGTTTTAAGCAATTTATTTAAATAGGTTTGGCCGGTTCAAAATAATATATTTATTAATTTTAATTGAAACTTATAATTTAGATTTGTTTAATGTAAATTATATGATACTCTTCATGCAATATAAAATATATGTTATTTTTATAATTAAATAATATATTTATTAATTTTATTTATTTTTTAAATATTATTTATTATTAACCAGTTTAACCAAGATCAAACCAATTAAATCGTGATCCGGTGATGCCATTGAATTGATCATCTGTCCAAGTTTTAAAACAATGATCTAACCGGCTACAACCATGCAGAAGCTAAAAATCCAGAGATCAAAAAGATGCTTCTTCAAAATGAAGAGAATTTATCAGAACAGCAAATAGAGAGCATGGTCAATCTGTTTCTTGCAAGTGTAAGGGAGGGTACATGGAAGAGCCAGGGCTGGCCGGAGACTTGGACGGACTATGCGGTGTCAAAGCTTGCCTTAAATGCTTACTCCAGTGTCTTGGCAAAGCGCTCCCAGAGATTTGGGTTGGTGGTGAATTGCTTCTGCCCTGGATTCACTCGGACTTCTATGACCGGCGGGGAAGGCACTCACACCGCCGTTGAGGCGGCGGAACTAGCCACCAGGCTAGCGTTGCTTCCCACAGAAGAACTCCCAACGGGGAAGTTTTATATATCTCATAACAACGTTTTACGTTCAAAGTTGTGAGATGATTTTACGAAGGCATAGTTTGTTTCTCTAAAATTATTTATGTGAACGGTATAAAATAATATTTACAAGCTCACTTTATGACCAGACAATTAAACTCTGACAAAGGAGGTCAACATAATTTAAATTATTAAAAAATATAACCAAATAGAATTTAATTTTTCAAACTAGTACTTATATACATATATATATATATATAATATCCATGGCAACGCCATTTTCACCATTATTTTTTATTTTTTTAAATTTCAATTGTGTTACACCTTTACTGTCAAGATTTTAAGAATATAATATATTTATTCCTTAATTAAATTTTTAAGGGAATTTGCTAATTTGTTCTCAAAATTCTCAGTAACTCCAATTTCTTCTAAACTTTGGTTTATTGTGGTCTATAAATAGGAAGAATATTATTTTTCTAATTACTAATCTTAGAGACCATCACCATTCAGAAATTAGTTATTTTTTCTAAAAAAAAAATAATTGGGACCAATGTGTGCAGTTTTTAAATACTGAAACGAAATTTGTTCTAGTTAAAATTATGAAGACCAACATTACATTTTGACCAAACTATATCCATCCAAATTCTCACACACACTTTGTTAAATGACTTGGCGCCTTTGCCACGTAAGCTTATATGTGAAAAAAAAAAAGAATTACCAAACGAGATATGATAATTTCAAATATTATATAATTTTATTCAAATACTATTTTATTCTACTTCATTCAATTTGACCTACTAAACAAGCATTATTTAGAAGAAAATTCTGACACACATTTCGTTAAATAGTTGATGTGGCAAGTGACATGGCACCTTTGCCACATAAGCTTATATGTAGAAAAAGAAAATAAAAAAAGCAAAAATAGAAGCAAAGAATTCCATAAAATAATGTTGTCTATGGCAATCAAAAAACAATCACTACAAGAAAACACTCATTCAATAAAGGAAAAATCTATCATAAATTTAATGAAATCCATCGTAGAAATGGTTATGTGGTCTATCACAAATCCCTTACCATATGCCTTGCCACTGATTAATTCTATGATGGAAATATGATTTGTCACACACATAATTTAGTGACAGAATTTTGATCACTGAATAAAAAGTAATTCTATCACAAAATTTTGTCCGGATTTAAAAAATTTGTAATGGATTCTATATTTTTGATGGAATTTTCGATCACTAAGTTAGTCATTAAATAAAAAATTGTTATTATTATTATTTATAACAAACTTGATATAATTTTGTCACTAAATTCCATCACTAAATCAAAAAAATAATTTATTATTATTTTAAAATTGTCACTAATTTTCATAGCTAAATTAACAAAATCAATCCTAAATTCCATTACCAAACTTACAAATTCTATGACATATTACAAAAAAATTAAATAATTAATTAAAAATAAATATTACCACCTACCATATTAATAATAGCTTATTAATGCCAAATTGTGCAAAACCTAAATCAAATCACCACAATATTAAATCACAGCTAATATCAACAACCATAAAAGATGACAATCAAATATGATCATTTACAAAAAATAGTCATAAAAAATAAATTAATATATAATATTTAATATCCAAAATCTTTAACTAGTTATTTTTCTCACTTTCCCTATCAAGAGATCTACCTTACTTATTCCTTTCTACACACCACCACATTTTGGAAATTTTTACTTTTTAATTTTTGTAAAACTTGATGAATACTTGACTCCACAAGGCATGGAATATCTTTCTTTGTTACAACCAATTTATTTTGAGCTGAAGCTAACTCAGACAAAGTAATGGCTAAATCAAACTGAATATCTAGTATTTGTTGGCAAAAGTCTTCCTCCTTCTATATATAGCCTCCTCCAATTCGTTTAGTAGCATCCTCCCACTTCCTTTTTGGCCTCCTCTGCTTCTCTTTTCAACTCATCAGTTGTTATCAAATTCATGATTGGCTAAATTGTCCCCCTCTGTCTGGGTGTAGAAAATTGAGAATCAAGAATTTTACTAGCATGTCGATGAGTACCAAACCCATATACTTGGCCTTTTGATGGTTCACCTATTACCTTGATCCATTTCTCAACATCAAGCACAGGATGTTGTGATACATATGGGCTATATTTTGCAGTCATATCTTGACTATATTCCTCTGGTGTAAAGCAACAAACAAATAATTGATAATATGAAAAATGAATTAAAAAATATCACATTAGCATAGCAGATGAATTTTAAAAACTCAAAAATAGAAATAAAAATAACCTTATATGAAAATAAATTCAATAGAATCATTTTCCTCTCAATAATGTTCTCATACATTAAACTATTTTCACAGTGAGATACCATATTTTCACACTATCAAGGTCAACAATCACAAACTAATAATAGTGCAATTTTAATAAGTCACTATATGTAACCAAAAGCACAAATTAAAATAAATAAAAAAGAATACCAAGTTATTATGATTCTTGGAGCAAATATGCTAATAATAGCAATTCAAAGAAAATAAAAGCCAGATAGCTAGGTACGAATCTAATGCTTTAAGACTCTATGTAAGAAGCAACTAGCAATGATCATCTTCCATAAATTCAACTCATTCATGCTAACTAATTTCAAATTTTAGGGCTCAATTACATGGAAAAAATAGATAAGGGACCAATTGATACGAGGTGTGAGTGTAAAGACTTATACCACATCTTATACTGTTGTTGATTTGGTCAAAATCAATGGTATAAATTAATTACAACTGATTTAAATGCAAATTAATTGTTGAAAGTTAGTGGAAGATAGCTGTAATTAATCTACATCGTTAATTTTGACCAAATCAACGGTGTAAAAATGGTGTAAGTCTTTTACATTTACACTTGGTATCAATTAATCCCTTCTCATGAAAATAATATAAAAATAAGGTGATTGAATATAAAGTTACTCACATGAACATACTTGACCCTTTCGCTCACAAATTCACCATTCCTTTTTTGTGTTCTTTGAGGGCTCTCAAAAAGCTCCAACTGTGTAAGCTTTCGACCAAGACTTTGCTCCTGCAAGCATAAAAACATAATCTACGTCACTACATTATAAAATTTTTCTTAAATTTATTTTGAAAACAACTAATTTTTCAATACACATCATTCTTCTTTCATGTTTTTTCATACTAATAGACCCACGTGTACGTTTAAAGATAGAGCCATCCTTAATTGTCATGTGATTTCTCTTACCAACTTGGGACCTCCTAGAAACCTTTTTGTGTTAAAGTAGTTATCTACTAGTTGATTCCAAATTTCAGTAGACATTCACTTTAGATGTTTTCCTTTCCAATATGGAGGATAGTTTGAGTTAGCCTACTTTGCAGTATCCTTGCGAGCGTTGTTGAAGGAAGTGCAAAAACTAGTTGGAACCATTTTTAGCCATCCTTCATGAATTATGCATTCATTCTCAAGATTCCATTGGAATCATCCCTAATAAACACATCATGTCCACAAGAAATAATAAGTTTAATATTTATACTAAATATATAATATATTATTATATCATTTAACCTCAATAAAAGTCAAGAGAACACACAAAAAAAAAATTATTGCATTACCTTAAATGCTGCCCATAGTGTATCCATTACCTCAGGTGGCAAATTTCTTGCAGTTTCCCACGGGGCAATAAAGTAGATTTTGATGGTGCTTGAAATTGCTCCCACCACATTTTGGGAGAATCACTTGTCAAGCTATATATAAATACATTTTCAATTCTTATAACTCACTAAACAAATAAAATTATAGTCTTTAATTAGGTTAATAACAAATTAAAGTTATTAGAAAACATTTAACAAATAATAAAGATCTCATTACATTTGAAGTATTATGTAGTTTATTGTATGAGAAGTGGGATAAAAATAAATTTCATTAAAGTAATTTACAATTATGTCAAGCATCTTATAAAACTTAATGAAAATAAATTTTACTAGCCATCCTCGTATCTTAGGAATGGTTAGGCAATGAGATTTCTTTAGCTGTTTCCCTCGCCATATGAAGTTTTTGCAATCTGGAGTTAATGGCAAATAGTACAGGACTTTGTAAGGCACCTTTTTCCTAAAATGTAAATTACTTGGCTTGTATCGAGGATGATGGCATATTTTTACATTCTGTGAGCACCTCATTCTCTTTGTAACATAACATGCAACAATTCATAAATGCATCAATCTTTACATATTTAAGATCAAGTTTGGCCAAATGCTTCTTTGTTTGGTGAAAGTTACTGGGTAACTTTTCTCCTTTTGACATCATACTCTTAATTGTTGTCATTAGTCAATCATAGCAAGCCTCTGGCAAATTGAAATTTGACTTGATATTTAGTAGTTGATCCATGGTTGAGAGTTTTGTGTGTTGCTTATAACCCTCCCAAAGGAGCTCATTTGAATATTTTAACAAGTTATAAAACTTTTGGCATCAAGGGTTTGGCATCTATTCATTATTCTCAAAATCATTATTATGATAAAAGTCAGGAATCAGTTAAAATCAAGACCGGCAACATCAAGCACCATTTTTCTTATATGAGAATCTTCATTTTGTACATCTCTTGAAGACTCTCCAACATATGACAATTTCCTATTCATAGATTATTCATGGGCAACCTATTTTGTGTAGCCAACAGTAAACCTATCTCTCAATAGATGAGCATTCACATTTTCGCGAGTGTCCAACTTTTTGTTGTCACATTTTGAACAAAGACAATTTATTAAGTTGTTGGAAACAAATCGAGGCTAAGAAAAAGTAAAATTTAAAAACATTTCCACACCTTCATTAAATTCAAGTATAATGTACCCTTCTACTTCTTTTCTATGCTACATCTAACTACAGTCACTATCCATCAATTCTCCAATAAAATAGTCTTAAATTTATCACATAATATAATAAAATGCAATAGTTATTAATCATACGTGTTCATATTTATTTTGATAATGTCAAAATAAATTAAAATTATTATATATATATTTATATAATGGACAATATGGACAAATT